TCCTTGCGTCCTCTTGCACCAATGGGTGGGAGCCAAGACAACCACCCACCTGGTGTGCTATACCTCTGTTTTAGCGCTGTTTCATGACTCCTGAATGCTATGGGAAAGCTGAAATAGGTTCTTTGGAGTTGTTATTAAAACTTGGTCAGGGCCTTGAAGGGGGGTTGGTGTTAGACACTTTTTGCCAGGTACAGTTATTCAGGGACTGGTATGTGTTACAGGCACCCTTTAGGAGGGAAGATGGAGAAACCTTGGAAAGACAGACCGTGGGCATGCATTTGCATATATGTGTGTGCGTATTTGTATGTGGTTTTATTTGTCTCTCACTTGCACGGATTCCGTGGTGAGCAGGAAACAGCTCTCTCTAAGAGCTCTTATAATGGAAATAAAAGCTGCTTCAAGCCAGAGATGGTCTCTTGTTGAATTCCCAAGGCCAGACTGTGATGTGGGTACAGGGGTGAGCCTGCAGGCAGCTCTCTGACCTTGGGCTGTGGCGCATGGATGCTCTGGCAACATGAGGCGGGGCCACATGTGCAGAAGCAGTTTTGTGCATAAATGCTTCTTCATTTTGGGAGATCAGTGATCACCACATTTGTAAGCATGTGTCTGAAGGGCAGAGGGCACCTAGGGCTCAAGGGATGTTTCTCCTAACAGAAGCCAAGTGCACAGGGGCTGCTGGTAGCCAGCTGAGACCCCCCCACCACACTAAGGAGCAGGGAGGAGCCTGAACTCACGGTCAGACAGGTTGTACAGGCTGTAAGCCACCTGTACACCAGGGCCAGTTAAGGAGATCTGCGAGGTGAAGGTGATGGTGATGTCAGCCGAGGACGTGACTGGGATCCGCTCAGCATAAGCTTGCAGGGTCCGCAGGCCACACAACCTGAGGAGCAAACACAGGCAGGATGTCCTGGGAAACGAGGGAGGAGAAGACAACAAAGTGTTTGGTGGGGCTGGGGTAGGAAGGGAGATGCACAGACTGGGTGTCGGGGGAAGCTGGGAAAGCAAAATGCCTTCAATATGGCACGAGATTATGAAGGAGCAATGGGAAAAGGCTGCAATTTAAACCCATGTCCTGTCAACACATGGGAGAGGTGACACTGGATCTTGCTTCGCCTGGTCACATCTTGGAGACTGAGCAGAGCCGGGCTGAGGACAGAGCATCCCTGGTGAATCAAGGGGTCCTCTCTGGGTGCAAGGCAGCATAACTAACATGGAGGTTCCCTCAAAATGGCTGGAGAAGTGAGGTGAGGAAGCCCTAGAGAAAAACAGGGATGAAGAAGCAACCACATGTGAATGCTGTGGTGGGAACTGATGCAGAGAGAGGGGAAACAACTGGAATGGCTGGGTTATGCAGCACCAAATAACTGTGGGCAACAAGGCAAAATTAGGCCTGACAAACAGAATGAAAACAGTCTATGGAGATGGTGACCCAGTTCTGCCCTCAGGCTGTGTGCAAGTCCAGAGTGACCCTACTGTCTTTGGACATTTCACGCTTTCTGGGCAAGAGCTGAATTCAGGCCACACAAAGCAATTCAGTTCTTACATTTATCTTCCCTAAGAAGCCGTGTTGTAGAAACTGTGGTGCAGACCATTTAAGAGAAGAGGGCATGGAGAGAAAGAGTGAAAACCCTAAGAAAGGAGAACATAGCTTCTGGATCAGACCCTTCAGAGGAAAAGAAGTTTACTCCCCCCCCTTCCCCCCCCCCACCCCAGGAGCGGTGGAGAGGAAGTTAATGAGATGGGCTGAGGGCAGTTTTGGAGAGAAAGAGGTAATTTTGCAGTGACTAGGAGGAAAAAAAAAAAAAAGCCATGGGTCCATCTAACTCAGAGCCTGCTTTGAGAAGATGGGAGCACAGCAGCTCACGGTCCTTTGCACCTGGACAGTGGTCGACAGCAGCCCCAGCTATGTGTGGATGCTAATTTTGGGAAGTCCCACAGGGGGAAGTGGTTGTAGTCAAAGTAGGAGGATATGGAGCTAGGGAGGAGATCTGTACGGAGGTGGATGCAAGGCAATGGCACACACAGATAATATTGCAGAGGTGGTGACAGGCAGATTTGCAAACACAGGAGATGTGGGAGGACACCAAGGTTACATACGCAGGAGAAAACTAGGAAGCCTGATGCAAAGAGCGAGACAGAGAAGGCAGGCTAGTAGCTCAAAGCAAGTCTGTAAGAAATGTGCTCACTGGGGAGCCTGTGAACAAGAGAGGCTGCAAAAGAAGTAGAAAACCAAGAGGCACCAGCACAAACAGTGGCCACTGAGTATGGTGATAGGCTCTCCTTCCTCAGACCTGGTGGTTGAAGTGAGCAGGCAACCTGCAGAGGTTTAATCCCAGGTGGGAAATGAGAGACAGAAACCAGGACACCAGCACACACCTTCTGTTCTGAATTATCCACTGGCCTTGGGTACAGGGCAGGTCGTGCTTCTGTCTGCTGAGTGAATAGGCATCGAACCACAGGGTGACACCATAGTCAAGGGATGGGACCTGCAGGAAAGGGGATCCAGAGCAGAGTGGACATGGCTCCTATGAGTGCTGCAGTCTACTCCATGCAACAGAAACGAGCAGGGTAGGTGTGAAGGGGAGAGCTGCTAATTCACCCATTGCAGGCCAGAAGGAAGCACCATCTAAACTGGGACCATGCTGCAGCTCAGGGTGGCTCTGCCACTGGTCGCAAAGCATGGTAATTCCCTAGCAATTTCTAGCAATCTGGTTCTGCTTTAAGAACCCCTCTGGAGACCAGATTTCACATCCCTCCTCAGTTACATCATCTCTGCTATGGCATCCAACATTAGACTCCTTCCCCTTCAGAAACACACTGTATGTGAAGGCTAGGCAGGCTGCCACCCTCTGCTTGCTTCTCATGATGATCTGACTGAGAGCACTGGCTGTACCCCTTAATGTGGGGAGTGCTGCGTGGGTTTCAGGGAGGGGGTGGATACTCTTGTGGGAGATGGCTCTTACCGTCATATGCCAGGTGCACTGCGTGTTGGGTGAGTAGTAACTGGGGTAGTGCGGGGTGCCGATCTTCCCCTGCAGCTCGAGATGTTCCCGCAGAGTTATATTCACTTCGCAGGCTGTAAATACAGACAAAATCCCTGCTACCTGTCAGCTCAGCCTCAGCCTGGGGATACCATGTACTCATCCCATTGTAGGTGAGGAGAAAAGGGGCTGTAAGGCCTGATGCTAAAGGTGACTGGGATGTTCCACCATCTTCCCCCAAGGGGCCATTTCTACCTGGCAAGACTTTTAGATGCCTCCTCTTGTTCAGAGAAGGGTAAAGGTAATGTATATTGCTGGTTTAGGCTTATATTGAATTGACATTTATCTGCAAGTGCATATGGAAATGATATCCAGGCCACATCTGCTCTGTCCATGCACAAGAGCTTGGGCTTGCTCCTAAAGTATCATGATCACTCAGACTCTGTGCCAGAGCCTGGACTGTAAAATCTCGAGCCATATGCTAGTGTATGAGTCTGGGTGAGGGAGCAAAATCTAACCTGCCTTTTACTGACCACCTCTACTCTTGCAGTGTAGAGTGAATGCTGCCCCTAATGGGGATGGAGCACCTCTAGGAGCAGTGATGTTGGACACAACCTCCTTCCTGTATCTATGGCCGCCCTCCTCCAGCCTTCCTCACCTTTGAGGGGCACCGCCTGTGCTGAGAGGATGAAGGGGTCGTAGTAGCTGTACATGGCTTTCTTCCACACAATGGACATGACAGGGCCAGATGAAAGGACTTCCACAACAGGCTCCTGCCGGCTGCAGCCATAGATCCTGAGGGGAAACAAATAAAAGAGAAGAACGAGAGACAGTGGAGATCTGTGTTATCCACAGCACACGCCTGCTGTAAGGCACTAACTGAATCAAATAAAGGGCCAGCAGAGAGACAGCTTGTGTTGCTGTAATCTCTCAGGATGCATGGCTGGCTGTGTGATATCCCACATCAGTGACTTCAGATGATCAGCGAGAGGCAGGTTCTGCATCAAAGAGGATTTCCTCTGATGTAGTCTAACACCTTCCCCTGCTGTGGTGTGTCGTGCCATCCTGCCTGGCTTCCCTGCCATGCTTACCCTGCTCAGGAGCTACCTACGAGGTGATGAGGTGTTTCTCCAGGGGCCCGGCTGTGTCATACATAGCCAGGCGGTCCCTGCAGTCCAGGAGTGTCCACTCCAGGCGTAGCTTGATCATGTAGCCCTTGAGGCCATGGAGATGCCAAAGGCAACTGGAAGCCAGGTAGTCAGGGCCCTCCAGCCTCAGGATGTCATCCTCCTGGACATAGCTGTACCTGTAGCAACCTGAATTCAGGGGAAAGATACAGGGATTTAGACCTTGTGGTGATGTAAATGGAGGCAAAGGTGGGGGGGTAGGGGTGGTTGTACAGGAAATTACAATATGGGATTATCACTTGGGATATCAGTGTGAGCCCTATATTGAGGTAAGGCTGACTCATCCCAATGATCTCAGTTTACTCTTACATACGTTGGAGTGGTACTAGACCCCCTTGTACCAGTGCCCCAGTTTCTCTCTGTAAGAATGGTCCCCTCTTCCTTGGTTAAGCCAATACTGCCTCAGGCTTTAAATATCAGCATAACACTGTTATCTTTCGCTGGCTTAATTCTCTTTTTCATCTCTTCCTCCTCTCACCCCCACATTCTTCCTGGATTTACATTCCCCTCAGCTGATTTCCAGGTTTCAGCAGGCTTCCAGTCCAGGATTTTTTAGTAGAAGTCAGCTTAAAGGTGAGTTTCCAATAGTGTATCTAATGCAAACTGTCAGCCACAGCATTTAGAACACTGCCTGAAATTACTAAAAGCACCTTCAAACATTGTTGACAACAGACTCCTACATGGCTGACACCGCACCCAATGCAGAGCCATTCCGGGAAACCCCCACCCCACTCAGTAGCATTTCACAGGGCCTGGAATTAGCACTGTTTTACCAGCACAGCAAGCCATTTGACAGGACTCATCAGGACAGGGACAAGGCTTTACTAAGGTGGCTGCCCTGCTCCTAGGAGCTGGTATCCCTGCACAGTGGTGTGCTGTTGGGGAAAAGGTGTTGGGATGCTCAGAGCAGTCCAATGTGTAGCAATGTCATGTAGTTTGGATCTGGCCAAGCAGCCGCACTGTTGCTCCCTTGCCTCTGTTCTCATCTCCCCTTCCCAGGATTTATAACTCCAGGAAGCCAATGAGTTTTCTCTCCCCTGTAAAAATCCCTCCCATAAAGTCACAAACTGAAAAGGAAAGAAAAAGATAGCCTACCCAGAGTGGATTTCAGCACTACTATGTCTTTCACACTGGATTCTGTCAGAAAGGAAATATATAAAGGAAGATAAACAAAGAGATAAACTGTCAGCATCTGAATGCTAGTATGGCAGGCAATTCCTTCCTATTTAAATGGCTCACAACTTCAGCATGAGCATGCTCCAGGTGTTCCTCTGTCTGCGGTCAGGGACTTGTCGCAGTCATGCCTTCCCTACCCTATCTCCCTGGGAAATCTCTCTAGCCTCTGCCCCAATTCCAAGAGTCCCACTTCATGTTTTCCAGCCCACCACAAGCTTCTCCACCTTTTTTTTCTTTGCTTTTTTTTTGTGTGCAAGGATCTCTTGCCTTTCCCAGGAGGGCTGGGCATTGCCTCTGGCAGCCATACCCCTCCTCTGCCAGCCACACCACAGGGCACAACAAACCCACTTCCCAGAGACTTCACCATCTGCCTACCCTTTCCCTGCTCTCCCAGTTTGAATAACCCTTGCTGAAATGCATGGGAGCTACTGAGAGTGGGGAAAGAGGTCTCTTTCAATCACCACTGGCTGATGAGCTGCTCAGCTTCCTTGTAGAGTCCACCTCCGGAGAAAGTAGATGCAGAGAAAGCTACCAGCAAGGACTACAAATCCATGCAAAACAGAGTTACAGGGTGGACGTTGCTTTTAGGAGATCTGGGCTTTGCTCCAGCCTCCCAGCTGAACTGGGAGTGACCAGAGATCAGGTGCAACTGGTAATAATTGCCAAAATAAAAGGCACTGTGAGGTCAGCTGGGTGTGAGAATTGCTGTTGGGGGCTTGCTTAGGTCAGGGCTTTAGTCTTTTGTAGCTTTTCAGCAGAGCTTGTAATTCTGTGGGGAGAGCCGAGCAGTTGTGTCATGGTAAAACCAGATGTGGTAGAAAAGATGATCCTGCAGGCATCAAGCAGGCTTCTAGAGAAGCTCATGTGCTGTAGGGAAGGATGTACACTGAGCTGATATTTAAGTGCTCTTTCATCTGAAGGTAATAAAACTGGACTCCTGTAAGGAGAATGATATCCTGAAGCTCTTGGGGGGAAAGGGAAGGCTAGTGTCCTGGGGTGAGTGTAGCTATTAGTAGAAATAGAGTGTTGGATAGGTTCCTGTGCTAGTCAATGGTTTGCAGCTCTGTGTCTTAAGGCAGGCTGCAGCCTGATATTATATTTAGAGGTAAGCAGGCCAGCAAATGAGTCTGCCAGAAAGCAATGATGTGCTAATGACTTGCTATTAGCTATCTATTTTTTCACTCCAATTTTACAGAACAAATGAAGCCAGAGTTCAAGTCACTGGTCACTCAGGTCCAGCAATGCAAGAGTAGAGTTTTCTGGCTTCTGCTAGGCTGTGCTTCTGACTGGGGAGGACTTGGTAAAGCAGAAGGAGCTGGGGAAACTGTGAGTGTGTTAATTCCAAAATAGAAAGAAGTGTGGTCTGCTGAAATAAACTAGTGAAATAGATGTGAAGGAAATACGAGGGAACTGGCAACAACTAAAAGAATGGCACCATCATTTTTATTTGTTTATGAGTTACATTATGAAGTGAGTAAATAAAGGGAAAATGCTAGATGAGCTGACTTGGAAGCATTTACCATTTTGTCTTATGATATCTTTCTTGAGAAAGTTAATTTAAATTGGCTGAATTTAAATTGGTCTGATACGTTGGAAACAGATCATAAGTAGAAGTAGGTGACTAATGGTAACTGAGGGAGGAGAAGTCTTCATGAGATGCTAATGCAGCTTCAGAATAAGATCTAACACAATGTTCTGGATGAAGGAGAGCAAATGATTTTGAGTAAATGAAATTTTTTTGGGGACACCAAAAAACTGACCTCCAAATCAAAACAACTGAGATGTGGATGGAAAAGTTAAAGAAAATATGGGTGGGATATATCAAAATAAGAATCACCTTAGAAAAATGCAAGATAACATGTCTGGGGAAAAAACTTGGAAGTGTAACATTTCATGGGAAGAAGAAACTTGGAAATGAGAGTCCCAAGGGGAGAGAAGAAACACAATGTATTTTAAAACCTATGAGGTCTGGGGCTCTGTAAGAGGGATCAGATCAGGCTGAGAAGTTGTCTCATCATAAAGACCAAATACAAACTCCATTGGACTTGGATGCATTGTATATAGACACATCCCATAGTCCTTTATCTAACACCTATTTTAGAGCAGTTCTATAGGGGTGGTTTTTTAAATAGGTTGTGATCTTCACTTTGGGCAACAATAAATAATCTGTAAAATCATACGTCAGGAACTGAAGTGGCAACAATGCTTTGTCTCAGAGTAAGAGTAGCGGTGACTCAGGTATATTGCCTTTGTTCTTCTCTCAATCAAGTAGCCTGCAATAATCTCCCAAAGGAAAACAGGAAACCTAATTGCTTGCTATTTTTGAGCTGAGCTGATCAAAGTCATGACCTGTGTAAGATCTTACTCCACAGAAGCCAAAGCTGATGGGAGAATGAAAAAAAAAAGTTATCTAGCTGATCATGGTTAGCTGTATCTCCAATAATCTTTAATCCTTCAAAGGAAGGATGGTTTTTTAAAAATCAAACTTCAGTTCTCCTCTATGAGGAAGAAATGTGTAATTGTATCTCCTGATTCTCACTTCCTCCATATCTTCTTCAGGTTTCCTCTATCCCCTTCCGTAGTGACTTCTGGCTTCTTCTCATAACCTCCCTTCAGCACCTTATAAACCTTGGAGCATTTCTGACTGCTCAGGTCACAGCTGAACAGCTGGTACTTACCCAGCAGAACCAGTGAGTCTGGATTGACCCTGTACTCTGTCTGGTAGGACAGACTGCCCGAGCTGTTGAAGCTGGTGGAGAGCTCTTGGTGGAGCACTGTGTTTACCTTCTCAGCAGTCACCTCCTTCTGCTGACTCTCCGGGATTTGGAGGGCAAACCAGAAGAAGAAGGTCAGGGCCCCCTCCCTAACAGAGAAATAGCATGTTAAATATCCTCTCTCTTCCTCTCCAGAATCACTGGAGAGGCAAGCCCCCCACTGTTTTTCCACAAATCAGACATATCTATGTGGACTTTCCAGCTTGCTGCCATGACCCAGAGGAACCACTCTGAGTGGGGCAGGAGAGCTGCTATGTCCATGGTGCTAGTTAATGCTCAGTCCTTTGGGAGAGGAAGCTGTTTTATGCCATCTGGTTTTAGTGATGACCATACGTGGTCAAATTAATGTGCTAATTAATCAAGATCGGTCTAATGAGTAGTCTCATTTCAGGTAAAAATGACCTTTGGCTGCTGCTGACCAGGGGTTGAAAAGAAATACTGAAGACTTCATTGTCTCACCTCCCAGTAGTGACAAATGGATGATTTATGACTCAGTACCTTACCACAAGCCATTAATGCTGGGCAGGGTCAAGCTGCAGGAGACTGTGACTGGGAAAGCTCTGTTCAACCACCTGGCAGAGAAAATTGGCTGGGGGAGGGGGAAGAGATAGTGAAACAAACCTTTGTTCAGTAAAAGGCTAGAGGAAGAACTGCAAGTGAAACTTTTCTCTCCCTAGCTGAAAATGGAGTTGCATCAAAATTGCTATTTTCCTTAGCTGAAGTACAAATTTAGGGGTGTGGTTTTCCATGGAAAAAAAAAATCAGAAGCAAATGTATACATCAGTTTGGAAGTTATTCCTGCTTTCTTGATCTACTGTGATGACTTGCAAATCTGTAGTCCCACATCTGTCCCATTCTACTGTTAGCCTATTCCCAGGTGGATCATGCTTCTTGGCTGGAATACTTTTTCCATGGTGCATTCTGGCCTCTCCCTTTTGGTGCCTAGAATCAGGCCACAAAATAACTTTCTTGAATTAGAGAAATTAATTTCCAGCTGCTTAGTTTCTACTGAGAATGCCAAGACCAATGTTTTTTTTTTTTCAGTTCTTCCCAGTGGATTCTTTGGTCTTTTGAATTTTTGCCTCTCTGAAAAATTTCTGTTTGGCTTTTCATCATGACCTCGGGTGAACATGAACATCAAAATATCCCCAGCTCTGTCATGCTGGAACCATTCTGGATCTGGACTGCCCAGCCTAGCCTAGAGATCATGGTGGCGACCGCAGCAGTTTGTCATGGACAGATTTCAGTGAAACCAGAGTATGATTGACTGGAAGCTTTCACACATGGACAAGCAAAAATTCTCTGGGTGCTACTCACCCAAAGGCATACACTGTGCTTGAGTTGTAATATCGACCCAGTTCTGTGGCACGAATCAGTTCCTTCAGCTGCAACGAGAATGTCATCTGATAACTATTGTGCAACGTTACAGTGGCAAAGTACCTATGGCCAACCATATGTTTCATCCCTCTTGCTGTACAGACCCACCAAGTCTGTCACTCGAATGGGGTTACCGGACCCCTTCCTCTTTCTACTGACTGAATTGCCTCGGGGCCAGCTCTGGTCATGAAGTTGCCCTCACCATCTTCTGGAGCTTAGCTGACTCCAACCAGAAGGCTCTGGACTCCACCTGCCCAAGGTCTGGGGTGTATTGGCGATTGAGGACCTGGAGGCTGCCAGAGTAAAACTGCAGGACGGCTGGTTCTAGGTGCCATGGTCTGTAGTCTGTCAACAGAAGACACTACTGATTACTTTGCTGATATGTAGGAGAGAGGGGTTTACCTCTATGTATGAATCTGTAAAGATCACTCAGAGTCACTAATGAGCTTTGAACTGGGCATTGCCTTGACTACATCCCATCCACCTCCTGTGTGGGGACAAAACATTGAATTTTTACCTAGGAAATACCAGGTTGCTGCAGCAGCTCCAGCCAACAAAAGAAAGGCTATCCCAAGGGCCACATAGCAGAGGCAGTTACGAGAGTTAGTCTCTGATCCATCCTTTGAGAGGGAGTTGGCATCTTCCTCCTGTTCTTCGTTCTCCATCAGGGGCACCTAGTGACACAGCACACCATGGTCAGGCTGGGTTTTCTGAATCCTTTTACATCTATCTCTAGAGGTGCTCTGCTGTCTCTGTGCTCCTCTCCCAAGACATATAGCCCCAAGAGATCTGTGTGCTAACCGTCAAAGACCTTGGTCAGTGCAAATGTGACTAAAACTCCTAATTTGGTGGGAGACAGGCTTCCAGGACACTGTCCTGTCTGTGGCTCCTGGGTAATCCCTCAATTTTCAAAGGCTTCTGCCAAAACCGCAAATGAGTACAATAATGAATTTCTCCAGAGACAAAAGTATTGTCCTCCCAGGCTGGGAATGGTTTTAAAAGTGGTATTTTATTGACCTAGAAATCAATGCAAAACAAGATTCGTGACCTCAAACACACGCAGAGGTTGCACAAAACAGCCGCAGCCTGGGAGCCTGAAGTTGTACTTTGCTTGGTGTGCCATTTTGCTCTTGGTCCCTAAAATTAATCAAACCTTGCCTTTCCCACCAGACCATGTGTCCCAGGGCTGTGCCCGTTCTGGCACTAACTCACTAGCCGAGCCAGTGAGGACAGAGCACCTGAACAACGTCCAGATCTCCACCACCCTCTGCTTGTGCCAAGGTATACCTGTCTTCCTTTGCTCCTCGTCTACCCTAGGCTGCTTCTTTTGCCCCTTGTCTGCCTCAGTCTGCTTCTTTTGCTTCCTCCTGACTCCTCCCCTTCTATCAGCCCCAGATTCTGATGGTAAGAAATGCCATTGCCCAATGGAGGCACATTAATCTTGGTTATCTCACCCACCTTCCTTCTCCTTTCCTCTGCCATCACCCAGTGCTTGGCTGCCCCCAAAGGCTTTGTGGGTTTCTGTGGCTGGAGAGGAAAGGGATGTGAAGACATCCACATGGGAGGGCACAGAGGTGCTGGGGAATGCTTGTGCCCTGTCTGCGTGCCTATGAGTTGTCTTTGTGCCCAGTGGTGCGTGTGACTGTGGAGGTGTGAATGAACAGGAGGGACTTGTTGCAGTTGTGGGAGGAGGTGGTTGGCCTCATGCCTATTTTAGCCCAAGTGAATGCCCTTGCACGATAGGAGCAAGTGGGCTTCTCAGTCTTCTTGCTTTCTCCCAGTTACTGAGCCCCAAGCCCTCCAGGCTGCCTTGCAACATGGAAACATGCTTGTAGAATGTAAGCCCCAGACAACTCACTCTGGAAAATTAAACCCAGCTTAGTGAACATCAGCACTCAGACAATCAGCTGCACACCTCTTTGCTCTAATACACCCTTCCAGAGGGGCACGTGGCACAAACAGGCCCAGCACAGACTTTTCTCCCTTGGTTCTCCTGGGTCACTTTTCTGTGCATCCCCTGGGGGGGATCTCCTCCCCAGTGAACCAGGCTGGTCAGTCCGGGAGAGCAAGGGCACTTCTCTGCTATCACAGCATCCCTTCAGAAACAGCAGGCACAAGCAAAGAACCGCAGATGGTGGAGTAGGGGGAGGAGGGCAGGAAGCAGCAGCAGAAGAGCCTCTTTGTTAGAAGATTTGATGGTAGGCACAGGGGTTTCCCCCAGAGCTGCAGACCTACCTTTGAAACCTGCTGCCGCCTGTGAAGCCTGGCCCACATCCCCTACACAAGCCAGCTCACACACGCATGGAGGGGGAGAAAGAGAAGAGGAAATCTATTTACCCAAGCTCAAGGTCTCCTCAGCGATCAATAACTTGATGCCATGTCCCTTCAGCTCGGCCTTTGTCCTGCACCGTCCTGCTGTGATGGGTCAGCACACCCCGTGCAATGGCTTTTTTTTTATGAAATGGAGGTTTGGGAGACTTGCGGGGGGAGACGACCTGCAGGCTGAGCAGAGGGAGCCTGAAAAAAGTCAGGGCAGGAGCACCTCCAGCTGTGCAGAGAAGAACAACCCAGGAGGCTGGTGCAAATAGCTTACGTTGTTGTCCTCAGGGGACAGGGAGTTGCTGAGCAACTGCTGTATTTCTTAGCTACCCTCCTTGGTCCCATTGGAAGGAGAGGCAAAAAGCAGGGTGTGTGCTCCCCAGCACAGGTATGGAGCAGAGGCTGGCTGGCAGTTGTAGATGGCTTGAAGGAGGGAAGATGGCAGTAGACAGTGAGTCCGGTTACCACAGCGGTCATGCAGATGAAAGCAAAGCACAGTGTCTTTCAGTCCCAACCTGCAAGACTCCCTCTGATCTTCTTGTGCTTCTTGATACCCAGTCTCCTGAAACTGGGTTCCCCAGACTCCGTTGCACTGCCACTCGCTCCTCCCTGCAGCATCTGCTTTTCTTCTTGCTCCAGGTCCTCCTCAACTATCTTGCCTGCAACAGCTTCTACATACAGCTCTGTACATGCCCTTTGTTTTTCACAGAAAGTGACCACGCTCCAGCTACAGCAGAGTAAATAGAGGTATTCTGTCAATAAATGGCAGGGGAGGGGGGAGGATGATGGGGACATGGATGACTCTTGACCTGGGGCTGAGCTCCAGCCAATGGCACTGACCTGAGGCTGAGCTCATTTGGGCCAGGGCTCATTTGGGTTCATTTTGGCAGCTGGGCAGGGATAGCTGTTTTCAGCTCTGCCACTGGTTCAGGTTTAGTCTAGGACTGCATGAAGACTAAAAGCTGTTGCTGTAGTTGCCTTGTGGTGGGTTCTAGTAGATAAATGTTAAATGTGGATTAAAAGCTGCAGTGTCTAACTGGGAATGTGTCAGGGCTGTTATCCCAACTAACTCATTGATGTACATATGGGAAACGGAGGCATGAAATGACAATAAGAAATGCTTTCAGAACTGCTCAAGACATTTAAGAGACCAGATTTCACTTTTTAAAGTTACTTTGAGCCAAAATCTCCCCTTATAAATGGGGACTAGCCGCATCTTTAGGAATATATGCATTTGTATATGGCTTTCCAAAGCTTATGCTATGAGGGCTTGCCACAGTGTGTCAGAACCCAGATGAGGGTATTTCCCAGTGCCTTAAGAGACCTTACTTTTTTGTATCCAGCCTTCCTGGAAAGAAGCATTCTCCTTCTCTGGTGTTTTCAGCAGAACAAAAAATATAGAATCTCAATCTGATCTATCTAAGCAAGCATACCACATCTATCACCGCAGGCTTTTGAATCAACCAAGGACCCAAAACCTTGATCAGATCTGACTTCAGAGGAATTCCTTTGCTGCAAGTACCCTTTACTTTCCACTTCTCCACACTAAAAAAAAAAAAAAAAAAGAAGGGATGTGGGAGGACACTGAGAGTTGATGTTGCCTATTTACAAACAAGGTATCTTGGAAAGAGGGAGATGAGAGATGTGACAGTTACCTTTACTGTCTCCGGTCTTAAGAGAGGACATGTGTCTGTTGCTGTCAGTTCAATATTTTCCACACAGTGCTGGTATTCAGCTTTGGTTTGCCTTTGGTACTGATGGACACTGTCATAGCATCTTTCTGTGGTTTTGTGAACCACACACTGTGTGTTCACATCAGCTTGAGAGGGGACCGCTCCCCATGTGACATTTCCAAAGAGCTCTTGGGGACTCAGCAGAGAAAGGGCCCCATATCACTGAAAGTGTTGTGCCTTTGGTATTCACAACCTGGGTTACTCACATACGAGACCACATGATCTTGTCTTCCCAGAAGAAAAGTCCGGTTATCACCAGATCTGATGTTGAGCACTTCCTGCCATGGTGTGTCACACATTCACACCCAGCATGGCTGCGAACGCAGTGCTAACAGCTCACCAGCTTGAAAGCTGTCAGCATTTTCACAAGGGGGAGGAAAATATTGAGCCAGCAGGATGGTCCTCAGCAGGATCACTTCCAACTCTGCTTTCTGTTCTAGATGGCTGAGTCCCTTAGGGAAGGGAGTGGGAAGGAGGGCTAGAGGTATATTGGTCTGAGCAAAGTTTTGCGTAGTCCCTTGTTTATAAAAGCTGTTAATCCTTTTCCCCCACCCCAAAGGACAGAAAAACACTGCAGATTCATTAATATTTATTTTATTTACAAAGGGGGTAAGTTTTTCTTTTGTACTCATCTTAGCAGCAAGAATAATTGAGAAGCTTATGAAGGTCTACATTGGGACAGGATAACCATCAGTACAACTAGGATCCTTGTCCCATGTAAGACAGCAAATTGCCCATCAGGGGCAAGGGATTCAGTGTCTCTTTTTGAAGTCCACCTGGAAAGATTCTCAAAGCACAGCGAACAGCTGGGTAAGCCTTGTGCTTCCTTATCTGGGTAGCTGTGGGGTCTTCTTCACCTGCTGTCTCCTGGAGACAACAGAGCGCTCCACATCTTGATGCAGGTGGTGAAGAAGCTGATGAGAGAAGAGGTATAGCTCCCCAGTCTTCTCAGCTGCAGGCAGGCTCATCTCCTTTCAGCAGCTCTTTTGAGGTGAAATCCAAACCCGTGGGTGACCCTGTAGCTGGGACTCACAATGACATTTGGGCTGCATAATGTGGGTAACAGTGTGGGACCAGGACAAAGGGGAAGCTCAATGCTTGTGCAGGCAGAGGTAGGGAAGAATTAGTTCTGGGTGATACTCAGAGGGGTGACAGAAGTACCAACAAGTTTGATATCCTTGGTCTTTTTGATATAAAAACTCTTAGAAGAAAAAATGTTAGCATAGGGCTGGTATTTTCCCACTGCTGAATAGTCCAGAAATATGGCAAAAAAGTGGACAGACAGTACAGATGTTGAATGCAGGGATGGATGTAACCAGAACAGCTTGTCTTCCTTTGCCTTGCCACTTTTCTTCTGTGGTGTGCTGCTTTTTCTCAACCCAGATCAGGAAATGCAGAGGAAAAAGAAAAAAAAAAAAGTCTGCTATCTCCATTCTTTGTGAGTGGATTGAGGTTTTTGTTTCAGCAAAGGTGCTGATTCGCGGGTTAGTTTTCTGGGCTCATTCACCACATCTGTGCCGCTAATTAGGCAATGGTTTCCCTTCAGCAATGGAAGGAATGGGCAGCACTGTTGCGATGTTTTCCACTAATAGAGGATGTGGGATGAACTATTCTG